TTCAAACGAGTGCAGAAAACAAATGGCTTCATTTTGTTCGAGTTTAACTACGGAAGGAGACTGCTAAGCCAGTTTCATATTTTCTTACTCCTTATCAGTCATTCGAGCTTCCTGATGACAAAATGTCTTTAAACCAACCTTCTGTTACTCTAAACTATGCAGCAAACCTATTTTCTGGAAATTCTGTATCGACTAGTGACCATGTTGAAGCTGAAACTATCAGAAACAGAGGCGAGATGGTATTTATTCCTCCATTTGGGGTTCCTGCAAGTATGCAGCAAATAAATAGGCAGTTACATGCGATGCCCGGTTATTCAGATGGTGATACTGTTTTGACCGATTCTCAATTTGTTAAACAACCACTCCACACCTACAGCTCGGAACAAAATCCTCTGTATAATGGATTATCTCTCAGCTTGGGATCTCGAGTACCATCCTTGGTTCAAGGGCCTTCGAATATCAATCAGTACACGGACTCAAGTTTCTCCTCCCCGTTGAGTTTGCATGCTGTTCATTCCCAGGCGCAGGTTTCTCAAGTCAATGGACTAAAGAATGTTGAATATCTGTCATTTGATTTAGCTGGAGAGACTCGGGATACTGTCAATTATGGAGCTGTCAACGGTGTTCAACTTTTGACAAGCCCCAAGGAAATACATTCTATGTCATCTCTATGTGAAGCAACAGGAATTACAAGAACGTTTTGGAACTCAAAGTATCTCAGTGCTGCTCGAGATTTACTCAATGAAGTAGTCAGTGTTCACAGAGCTCTCGAAAAGCCAGAGAAATGCCAGGACTTCAATTCACTTGGTCGAGATGGCTCAATAGGGACGGATGTGAAAGGGGGCTTGATGTCTTCTGAACCTTACGAGTTAACTACCAATGCTTCTTCTGAACTTTCACCTTCTGAAAGACGTGATCTACAAAACAAGTTAACAAAACTATTGTCTATGTTGGATGAGGTGATACCATTTGTACAATTTCTTCAACTAATATTATCGTCTTAGTTCTCCTCTTTTTAGGTCCAAGTCTCATTAATTATACTTGATTTAGAGTTTTCATTTGTTCCTTTTGAACTGTTTGGGCTGTAGGTGGATACAAGATACAAACATTATAACCATCAGATGCAAGTTCTGGTATCATCGTTCGAAATGGTGGTAGGACGTGGTGCTGCCCAACCATACACTACGCTTGCCCGTCGCACAATTTCCCGCCAGTTCCGCTGCTTGCGTGATGCAATCAAGAGGCATATTCAAGTTACTCAAAAAGTGTTGGGGGAGCAAGATGTGACTTCACATGGTCAAGGAGTGTTATCTCGTCTTCGCTTTGTGGATCAGCAACTGAGGCAACAAAAGGCACTTCAGCAGTTTGGTATGACTGGACAATCTTGGAGACCACAAAGAGGCTTGCCTGAAAATGCTGTTTCTGTCCTTCGTTCCTGGCTTTTTGAGCATTTTCTTCACCCGTATGTTATCTACTATCTTCTCATCGACACTGCTGATTACTATAGAACAATGTCCTAACTACTAAGTTTTCATTAATCCACAGTTACCCGAAAGACTCGGAAAAAATCATCCTTGCAAAGCAGACAGGATTGACTAGAAGCCAGGTATATATTCATATGCTTAAACTGTGATGAAGATTGTCAATTCATTTGTTTAAATTCTGATCCTTGATCTTTGATAGATAAAAATATTCTCTCGACTTTATATAGCACGTTTCCATGCAATAGCATAAACACAATCCCTTTAGCTACACTGGTGCCTGGAAATTAATAGTCGTAGTGGAAGCATCATGATTTAATCAGAGTCAAAAGTGATATGTTCACGACTTGATCAGGTTGCGAACTGGTTTATCAATGCACGGGTACGTCTTTGGAAACCCATGATTGAGGAGATGTACAAAGAGGAGTTCGGGGATGCAGAAGCAGAACCTAAGACTTCGCCAGAACATGCAGCAGCAGCACAGGAGAAGTCTTCTTATGATGACAGAGATGAAGAACATCAGGGAAGCTTAATGTCTTCATCGGTGAATGGCAACCACATGGCTCAGTCCAGTGAGTTTATGACAGATGTTATTTCAAGCTCAGAATGGAATGTACATGAAGCAAAATTGAGCTACCAGGCTGGTCCTTATCGAGACAATGAACTTCATTTTGGACGAATTGAATTACATCACAAGAAACTTCTTAATGTGGCTGATAATAGGATTTTCTCCGATGAAACGGTATCACGCGAGAAGACTGGTTGTGGGATTGTTGAAGCTGCTGGTGATAGACATGATGTTTCCACATCGAGTAACGCAATTGGAAATCAAGTGTCACTTGCACTGGGGTTGCAACATTGTGAGAAAAATCCCCAACCAATATCTGGTGGAACGCAACCAAGCGAAGATGGTACTACAGCTTCTTCAATGGGTCTCAACAAATTGGAATACCGTTACATGGACCCCGTAAATCAACAGCACAGGTTTTCCAATCCCCACCTCTTCTCCGATTTTGTGGCATGATAAAAAGGTTACCTGCAACATGAGCACAGGCAGAGATGCTTTGCCCTATTTTATTTTTTGCAAAGGATTTTTTTTTTTCCTTTTTTTGTGTGTGCGCAGAAATAATCAAGACGTCCAGAATTAAGCATGATAGACATGCTCTGATATTCCATTGTATAGTATGTAAAGTTCACGTCACAGTTGTTTGTAAAGGAAATTCCATACAAATTGTAGTTTTCCATTCATTGGATATGATAATGCGTGTATGACTAACATTTTTCTGATAAGTTCACAAAATAAAAGCAATCAGGCACCAAGAGTACTGTTTTGTTATGAAAATATTGAAATCTTGTTATCTATTTTGTACAAAAGTGTTTCGAACTTGCAAATCTGTTCACAAGCTCACTAGGAAATTGTACACGAACCTATTGTATGTTCATATGTTCGGGCCATTGAATGTTTAAATGCAAAATGAATTCCTAAATGACAGGGTGATCTACATTCTCTATGAAAATTTGGTTTTAAATTTAGCAGATAAAGTTATAATCTAAGCTTCCTTCGTTCCATTTTCTTTTGCTACCAAACTGTTTCATATCCTTAATGTTTTCGTCTTGTATGATTCTTGTGGTTGAAAATGAATCTTATCAAGAGATTCTGGATAACCCAGGAAAGCAAAACTTTCCTTTGCCTTTTGCTAGGCTGTTTAGATTGTTCAGTCGCTTTTATCAGTAAATAGCCTTGTAGTTTTATTGACCAACAAATCTACAAAATAAGAAAGTGACCAAGTAATGAAAGGGACAAGTGCGCAAAAATGGTAATCATTACTAGTGTCTTTTGGTCTCTTTCCTATTCTTACATTTCGTTAATCGAAGTTCATTTTTCTGCTCATGGACGTAGGTCGAGTGGAACTACGTTAACTCGTTTTGCTCTCTTTTATGTTGTGCCCAAAACCTTATTTTGGGACTTCCTTACAATAAGTAGTATCAGAGCCAACACATCATCATTAATCTCAACAGCCCACAGCACCATACCATTAGTCTACTGCATGAGGAACTTAATTTTAAACATCACATTCTTGTCTTTGAAAGATTATGCCTGCAATGTCCTTTCAACATCATCCAACAACAGCTAATATGAAAAAGGCTACATATTCCCATATGTTTATGGATTCCCAATCAGACAATCTTAAAACTGAAAGTGTGCAAAAGACACACTACTTTGCCTTGCTTTTTTCTAGATGGCAGAAAACAATTAAACATGTTGGCTTATTTCTACCTTGTGAATAGTAAGAGAGAAGATTGAGCTGAACGTGCTATTTTAGTGGCGCTATTTTAGTGGCCCAAGGAAATGTATAGCGTGCATTAAAGCTGAAATCTTGATGCCTTAGCTCCTTGTTTTGTATTCAGGGAAGAGGGGGTGGAGGGATAGGGTGAGGCTACCATTTGACCATATCATTTCAGCATTTTCACTTGGTTAATTTGATTCTTCAAAGATGTTTAAAAAAATATGTTCATATAGCTTTTATGGCTCTCAGTATGCTGACATTAGGGTACACAATATTAGATTACATCAGAAAAAGAGGAGATACAGAGAAAGAATCTATGCTTTCCTTCTTCAATGAACTATTATCAAATTAAGAGGCATGTTTTCTTCTTATAAGTTGTTTAATTATGTTATTTATTGTCGGGTAATTTACTAGTATTGCGCACCAAATATGCATTTAGGGGTTTGTCATCGATGTCCGCTTCTCTACATACCTCATCTCCTTTACCCTTGGCCTCTGTTTGCATCCATCATTTTCTCAAGAATCCTTTTGCTTTCTGAGATCAATTCAAGATTTTTACCATTCATATGTACTTGCATTTCCGAAATCTTCTGTTTGTAGTATGAGATTGAACTCTTTATTAATGTTAATCTTATTCCATATTTACAATGTAAAATCATTTTCTACCTTGATAGTTTCCTTTGAAAAAATCCATTTAACTCTGCACTCTGTACTTCTGGTTAATTTGATGATCAAGATCCAATCTTTATCAAAAATATTGTCAGTGATTTTATTAGCAATTTGTTAGTATGGTTTCACAAGATTCCCCCTCGATTTCCAATTTAAGTATTCTACACCAATTCATTGTCTCAAACTCCATAGCTAGTCAATATGAGTTTCGAAATCAACATTTTGATCCTTATGCAGAAGATTCTATTGAAAATAGTCCTTACCCACAGTATCTAGGTTTGTTGCCACACACTTATTCTCTGGATGAAAGAATGTCTAGATCTAAAGACCTTGTTCATGCCCATCAACTAACAGATGAAACTCATATCGACCGGGATAGACAACTAATCGATCTCCTTGGAACATCGACTGAGGTTTCTCAGCAAGCCCAGAGGCTATCTCTATCTCTAGGGTCAATGCAATCCAGGCAAAGATCCTTAAATTCATCAAACTTTATTAGTCATGGTTACACGGGACTTGATCGAATGGCTAATGATATTTCTTTCGCTGGAAATGCTTTTTCTCCGGTGAATCAATCTTGTTCAACATTGTATGGAACTGAATCATTTGCTGCTGCAATTGGGAGCTCGAAATATTTGAAACCAGCTCAATCCCTTCTAGAAGAAATGGTTAGTGTTGGGGGAAAGGACATTGATTTGAGCAACCAGAAGTGCATTGAGAAATTATCGCGCGCTTGCAAGAAAGGCTCTTCATTCGCACTCAAAGCTGAGTTTTCAAACAATGAAATGTTGATTGAAAAACATGAAACTTACCTCAACCTTGTAAAGCTTATAGCCTTGCTTGAGGAGGTTGATTCATTACCTTTAAACCTCGGATTACTCTAATTCAACAGCTTTTGTCTCATCCCATCTGCTTATTGTTTTCGACTGATGTATGCTTTTCAGGTGGAAAGACATTACGAGGATTATTATCATCATATGGAGAAAACTGTTTCATCATTTGAGGTTATAGCAGGTTCAGGAGCAGGAAAATGTTACACTGTTCTTGCACTCCGAGCTATGTCCAAACACTTTTGCAGCTTAAGGAATGCAATTTTATTTCAAATTCATGTCATGCGAAAAAAGATCAGGAAAAACATGCCGAGATTTAGCTCGGGTTTGTCTGATCAAGAAGCAAGACATAATCGAATGTCACTTCAACAGCTAGGAATCATCCAAACATCGAGACAAGTTTGCAGACCGATAAGAGGACTACCCGAGACTTCTGTGACAATTTTTCGTGCTTGGCTCTTTGAACACTTCCTTCATCCGTACGTGATCGATTTCCCGCATAACTTCAAGTTTGCTCCTAAACGATGCCTGTTAAAGATATTTTTTTTCTCAGATATCCTAATGACTCAGAAAAGCTTATGTTGGCATCACAAACAGGCTTGTCAAAGAACCAAGTACTTAGTTTTTCTGTTCAAATGAAAATTATGCTATAAATGATTTCCATTGGTTTCGACTATTCTTATTTTTAAGCATGTGTTTAACGATTGTTTCAGGTTTCTAACTGGTTCATAAATGCTCGAGTTCGACTATGGAAGCCTATGATTGAAGAAATGTACAAAGAAGAATTTGCAGTCTTCAACTGAATCAGAGCAAGTATTGACAAGTAGTTCCATAACAAGGGAAGGAGTAGGGGATTCTGCAGAGGTCTAAAAGGTGTAGATAATTTCATATATAGATGTCAACCCCTCCCCCACCATCTCCAAGATGATATCAATTTTTTCTCTTTAAGAGATTCTTCTTCCTCCTTAGCTAAATGAACTACATGATTATGTTGGTTGAGAAGCCAAGAGTTATGATTTGATCCTCGATTCCAACTACAAAATCACATTTTAACTTGGTACGAAAATTATTTCTTTTAATTTTGATAGAAACTTATCCGTTATATGAATCACATAATTTATAGATATTTAGAATAATCAATATTTGAGTCGATAGCTATAGAAAGCATGAAAATAAATAAACAAGAATAAAAATTAACAATTTTGATTTTTCTTGAAAGCAGAAGAAGAATTGGACTATACCAAAACCAATTGATTCCGTTTCAATTCAGATTTATCATTTTGTACATGCCTACTCCTAAAGTAACACATGGTTTCGTATTGCTAAAAGAGATTGTTTACAAGTAGGGTTAGTGTTGGAGATCCTACTGTGATTGAGGATATCACTCCTCAATCAAATTCTTCCCATAGCATGCCAAAGGCAGTCACGTAATCATAGGAGATTTATTTGTATAGTTTCCATTTCATTGTTCAATCATTGTTTGTATTCCATTTCCACAATCTGTAAAAATCTGTATATAAAGCAATGCAAGCTACCACTGAGTGCAAGTTGGATTTTAATCATTCTTACTTAAAACTTCAAATTATGAAAAAGGTGTTGAGGTGTTGCAAATCCAGCGGGACATAAAAATATTCTAAAAAATTAAGCACAATAATTATTATCTTCCAATTAAACTCGTGTAACCCACAAATATATAATAAAAAAATAAATTACTTCTTTACTAGTAAACAAAGTATTATAAGTTCCTCGTTCAAAGGAGTAGAAAAAAGTATTTTGCCATTTGTACACACTTGTTGACACATTGTCAAAAAATCATTGGCTGAAAAAACTTTTTTTTTTTTAAAAAAAAAACTGTCAAACGAGATAATATTGTGTGGCATTATATAAACAAGGGTGTTAACCAAAATGTACACCAAACATGACTCTAGAACAAATCCTTCAATGTTGATCAATATTCTTATCATTTATTCATTAACACGTCCTCACAAAACATGCCAAATTTCGAATTTTTATGCTCGCTTGAATCTTAATTGAATCAAATTGTTCGTTTGAGCTTAATAAGCTTTGATATCATATTAAAATTTCTGATTTAATAGTAAAAGATCGACATTGTCCGAAGGAATAGCTCAACTTCTTATATGTTGGTTAACAACATCTTCAACAGGCTCTTCATTAGTCCTTTCTTCTTTTCTTCCCCCCCCCCCCCCCCCCCCCCCCCCCCCCTCAAAGAATTGTGAATAATGCATTTACCATTTTATAAGGTCAAAATTCTTTTTGGGGCATCCGCCCTCCAAATGTAGAGAGTCAAATTTAGTCTCTATCCATGCTTCATTTATTATGCACAATTTTCTACTCATTTCTTTGACTTTTTTTATTAGAAGAAAAAAATACTTCTTTAATTCCTACATCAGGTCCATTTATCCATTTGTTGAAGGATGGACAATATTTGCTCATGGGAAAACAAAATAATGAATGAAGATAAAAGTTTTTATTAGAGTTACTTAAAAAGTTTGGCTCTTTATTTTGAAAAAATTCCTTAAAATATTCATTATATGGTAGAAGATTTTCTCTAAAATAAATAACACTATTGGATATGCTCTAATATTCTTATCTTTACTCAACGTAGAATTTATCCGTTAACTCTTGAGTTCCATCTTAAAAGACAAACATATTTAAGAGGAGTAGTCTAAACCTTTGATTATAGTAGACTCCGTTAGCATATCAAGACTTCTAGTTTCATCTTAAAAGATCAACAAGAACCCAAACCCTTGAATGTAGGTTAATATTCTTTGTTTTATTTGACGTGAAATTTATCCCTTAAAAAATCTGAAAGACTCTTAGTCACACATCTTTGATCCACGATCAAAAAAAGCACCATACCATCACAGCCCCTGAATTCATCTTGTATAACTGCATGACTGATATTGAGCCCTTTTTGGATATCATTTTTCACCACATCATCTTTAACGCATTTTCAAAAGAAAGAAAAATCATTTTTCCATACTTTCTCATAACTTTTCTTAAATTTTAGTTGCACATTTACCAGAATATACATTTTCCACAGAATCACTTCTCAAAAGGTAAAGCTCTAGGTAAAGTAACTGAAATCCCATTCTCGTTACAAAGGCAAAACAATTTCCATGTTTAGGCGACATAGCATTTTTATTTGCACATACTTGAAAATTTCTTTTTCTTGATTATTTCCTAAACATTAGTAACACATAAGTATTGCAGCAATATTGGTTGAAGAACAACAGTAGGATGGCATATTTAAGTTTGGTTGATGCTGCTTATACACTTTTGGTGTACATAATGATTTACACCCTCCTCATATGAAGAATGACCCACATATAATTTATTGTATGTGGACCCCATATGTGAGAGGGTGTATACCTTTCTGTATGCTAAAAGTAAACAAGTAGAACAATCTTTTAAGATGGGTTTACGTCTCAAACAGTTTTAACAACTATGTTTATTTTTTTCGTATATTGAGGGAGGGGATGGGGATATTTAGGCCCCTTTTTGTCATCCCTTACTTTAAATTTTTTCCCATTATTTTTTATATAGTACTCATTTTCATTAAAATAATATTAAATGCAAAAAAAAAAAAAAAAACTTCCTTCTTTTTAACTACACATTCTCTATCATTCACTACTATTTTTCCATAATACATTTTTTCAAATTAAAGGGGCTCAAACTGGGGCCTTAAGTCTCTTTCCTAGCAGACAGGAGGAATACCTTCTGGAGAATCGGAGCAATAGTATTTTCAACATCATACAAGACTTATGACATTGGAACAACTTGGTCGACCACCCAAAAATGGCTGCACCAATCCGATCAATCCTGGCGTAGGAGGGTGGTTTAATTTCCGTTATCATCATTTACAAATATGGTTTCTTCTGTAGAACTTAAACGAAATTACTTCAAAAAGAATGTACCGCATTAACACTGATTAGTCTTCACCATTTATTAAAAGACTGAAGAAACAAGAAAATGATCTTAAAGAATGAGATAAAACTGTCGACTACTACAAAGATAGTTCAATGATACTTACGCACTCATGGATTAATATAGGAGACAAAGATTTTTTTTTAATTTTTAGTTTGGTCGTCCAGTACGATTCTACACTAGGCAAGGTCGACCACCCATACTGGTCCGGCATAAATTCAATAGTAAAACTGATCTCCCGATTGATAAATAAGGGAATTGTTGTTCAACCACGGGACAACATGTTAATCTTGGAACATTTTGTAGCCCCGTAAATAGAGCATTCTTTGTCTGTTGCAGTCCATTTATTTGGGCAATAAATGTAAGAAAAACAAAAGCAAATTGCTAACTGAGGTAAAAGTCCATAGACTGATCAAGAATGTGACAAATAGGGATATCTATATGTGTTCGTGGAGCAGGTGAAACTAAAACCAGAAACACTGTCACAAATTTCAAATTCCTCCTCCATCTCCATCATCCATTTCCATTAAGGAGTAGATACTACAAGTTGAAGGGGTCAGTTTTAGCCATAAGAGGCATATAGTGAAAGTAGGGGGATTTGGTAGAAGAGCAGTTGATATAATTGCATGATCTATCTTTTTCTCTCCATGTATAAAGATATGTGTATATATAGAGGAATTGCTTCAAAGGAATATCGCAAAGCAATCTCCCGAAGAAGAGAGTTTTAGTACCTTTTGCAGTTGTTAATGGCTTCAATCAAGGTGCTTTTCAGTCTCATAGCATTTCCTTTTCTGTCTTGCTCTCTGCTAGAAGCTTTTCCGGGTTCTGGATATGGTCGAGGTGGAGGCAGCTACTTGGGGCTTACCCCGGAATTCTACGATTATTCATGCCCACAAGCTAATGAGATTATAATGTCTGTATTAGAAAAGGCCATTTCAGAAAATCCCAGAATGGCTGCCTCTTTGCTGAGACTCCACTTTCATGACTGCTTTGTGCAGGTAACTTGATTAAAATTTCATATACATAAACTAATTATTTTAGTAGCACTGAAGTATTTACTTTCATATTACTAATTCAGAATATGTTTATAGGGCTGTGATGCATCGATCCTACTAGATGATAGTGACGCAATAGTTAGTGAAAAGAATTCTGGACCAAACAAGAATTCCATAAGGGGATTTGAAGTGATTGATGAGATCAAGGCCAAACTGGAAGCAGTATGCCCTCACACAGTTTCATGTGCAGACGTTCTGGCCCTTGCTGCTCGGGATTCCATCGTATTAGTAAGAAATTTTAAATTAACCTTCTGGTTTATTCAAAAAAAATAAGAGCCATATACTGCTTTTTACTGAGAAGAAGTAAAACAGTATTCCCTTTGATCTTTTAAAACTGCATGAAGAAATTAATCAAAACATATTCAAGTGTACCTTCCGCGCCTTAATTAGGACAAGATCAAAATTCAAATGATTTTTACATGAAACTTATGGTAATGATGATCATGATACAGAGTGGTGGACCGCATTGGGAAGTGCCATTAGGAAGAAGAGACTCAAAAACAGCAAGTCTCAGTCGATCAAACACTGATATTCCTGCTCCAAATTCCACCATCCAAACCCTCGTAACACAGTTCAAGCGCCAAGGTTTGGGCGTCGAAGATCTTGTCGCTCTTTCGGGTAAAACTATTCTACAAGAATGGATTTACTCATATATTACTACGTCCCAGTTAACACATTTACTAAATAATCAAAAAAATATCCACTATTTGGGTAGTATGAGAAGAAGCAAAAAGATGAAAAAAAACCTGTGCATATGTATGATGTGCTTATAACTTGTTTGTTTAATAATTCTCTCTCATGTTAAATTGCAGGAGGCCATACAATTGGGGTGGCAAGATGTGTGACATTCAGACAAAGGCTATACAATCAAAACGGGAACAACCAACCAGATACCACTTTAGAGAAAACCTACTACAACGGCTTACAAAAAATCTGCCCTAAAGTTGGTGGAGATAATAACATTTCACCACTGGATTTTGCATCCCCTGTTAAATTTGATAACACATACTTCAAGCTCATATTATGGGGCAAAGGGCTTCTCAATTCCGATGAAGTTCTGCTGACTGGAAACATGCACCAAACCATGGAGTTAGTTAAAAGCTATGCAGAAGATGAGGCTCTTTTCTTCCCCAAATTTGTAAAATCCATGGTCAAAATGGGGAACATTAGTCCTCTTACTGGTTCAAAAGGTGAAATAAGGAAGAATTGTCACCTACTGAACTGAAAATTTATTCAGCATCTTTAGATGAAGTATGTTATATGACTTATTGTATGGTTTCAGTTTTCTTTCTGCAAGTAAATTTTTGTATTTAAGTTGGTAATGAATCAATCAAACATTTGGAAGTTACCCTCTTGTTTGTAATCTAGATGCCGTTGGCAATTATCTTTGCTGATCTCTATGGACATCCAATTTCAAAGGCAGTTGAAAAGTTTTTTAACTTTCTGTTAGGATGGTTGTTTCAACCAATATACTTTCAAAACTGGAAGTCAAGACTTAGTCCCCAGTTAGTGAGTGGTTTTGAGTTCTAATTTTGAAAATACAACAACAAACTATGCAATAATCCCAATAAATTTGGTGTTTGCTCTCAAAATTTCGATCAAGCTCAAAAAAATTCTTGTCTTTAGATGTTCCTCAATTACAGCTCAAGATTTAGCACAATGTCCCAGGTAGCCAGGGGGATCACGTGCTGTGAATTGAGTTTACACATCGTCCTCCTTGCTTATTTCTTCAACCCCATCCCCCATAATGGCTGGCATCAACTAGATTCTCTTCTACAAAGAGCCATCACCACCTTTCCCACTTCCAAAAATCCCACTCCAATGCCTTTCATCATGGAAACCACCCCCCATAATCTGCAATGCAATTTCCTTCGGGGTAAAAATATTTACATATAAAATGAATCTCTGACTTCCACCATCAGCAGATGCTGTAGGTATTACCACCACACCCATAAAGTTAACTCTAAACCATCTTCACAACCTTCCATCGTTCATCACTGCCAACATCAACCCCTTCCAGTCCTCAACAGTCACCTTCCAGCACTCCTTTCCAATCTCATAATTACACAAGTACCAAACACAAATCCACTCCTCTATTACGTCAATTCCCAATCCACCACCTCCAGGCTCCAACCCGTTCAAATCCCCCATGTCCACTACTAGCACTTCCAATGAAACCATAACCCATCCATCAGCTAAGTCCTATTGCACTAGCAACAATGGTGCTGAAAATTGTCATGTTGAAGCAACAGGAATCATAGGTAACTAGTCAAGATGATAAATAATGAAATATCTATTATTGTTCATTAATTTCATTATATCCGTAATTTATTATTTTTAAATGTTCTATATATTTTTTATTTCTTATATGGATTATACCAACAGATCTAAAATGGTGAATATCGAATTAGATTTTGAATAAAAACTTCAGATATGACAACACAAACTAATTTAATCAAAAGCCAAAGCACCTTGTTATTGTCTGGTAATTTCTTCACATTGTTGTTTCTAGCAATGCATTGCATTGAATTTGTCTCATCCCACGTTTATCAAAAGCAAATCCAAGATGTTTATATACATTTAGATGAGAATGTTAAGGTAGATAGGTCTTAAGGTGAGAAAAGAGATTAAGAAGTGCATATATTCATGAGTTGGTTAAGGTGAGGTTAAATTTTGGGAGAATCTTTCGAGACTGTTAAGACATCTGAGCAAATATGGTTGGTTAGATGCATAATAGTAAACTTAGAGGAAGAGCGTAACAAAAAGGAGAGGAGAGTTGGTTACCAGTACAGTGAACCAGTCAATTGAGTTACATTCATTTTTTGTTTTTTCAAAAATATACAAGGAGAGAACTCTACATTTACACCAAATCAGATCCTGAAAATCAGGAATTATTTGTGAATACTAACATACCGGTATCCAAGAATTCATATTTATCCATCAATCAGTATATTCAATCCCACAACCAAATCAAATTTCATTTCTGCTAATGTTTTTCTATTTACATAAGGCTTTGATCCTAAGATGCCCACAAAATTATACTTTAACTAAGAAAAACTGTGGCATTAGTTTCAATGTTCTACTCAATGAGTCACTACAGGCCATATTACTAATCTGTACATACACAGAGGCTAAAACACGCAATAGTTTTTAGGACACAATCTTCAAAAGCAATTTTAAGGAACCGAAATTATGAACAAGGTTTATAAATCTGGTGTTCTCACCGGAATAGGGATTCCAGATTCCTGCAATTAGGTTAATGCTAACGTGAGCCATCATCCCACCTCCACATCCTTGTCCCCCCATACTGTATTCACTGTGATAATTATATCAAATTCACCAAGCAAAGGAAATTGGTTGAACAATAAAACCCATGATATCAAATATTGGAAGAAAAATAAAATTGAATTGAGCAATAAATATTTTCTTAGCAAAAAGTAAGATTTTCATTAGAATAAAACAATGGGAACGAATTCAACGCTCAGCAGCTCGAAAAAGAAACCCTAATCGAAGGAAACCACTGAAAATTGCCAAAAACAAAATTTCCGGCATGACTGAAAGAAAAAAAATTTGGACCATTTCTCGATTTGTGCGTGTCATCCTTGCGCAGGGGCCATGCTAATCTTCTCTGTATCGTTCCAATTTTATCGGATGTCCCCGAAGGGACGATATAGGTTTTGCTCGCATCGCAATATAAAATGAAAGTTATTACTGTGTTTAGTCGATGTGGGACTAGAGTAGTTGGGATTTAGTTCGCACAGTGTAAGTTTGAACTTTGGGTCTGGCTTAGGTTTTAAGCTAGATCTTCGGGCTGGCCCATTCATAAAAAAAATTGTATTGCAATCCATTAGGTGGAGGCCCACGTATATTTATATTAATTTTTTAAAGAATAAGAACATCAAAATTTGAATTTCTCGACCACTGAATTTAAATATTAATAATTTGATTTCTCGATACACCTTTCCTACTCTAAAGAACTTCGAAGACTCGAGGGTGCACGTGAAGAGTTAGCAATGGAAAATGATGTTGAGATTAGACGAGACTGAATGAAATTTGAAGTAGAAGAGTACTCATGTCATTATGTGTAAAAAAAATAAAAAATAAAAAAATACACCGATACAATGTTTCGCAACGAAGTGAGACAAGAACCTTTGGAGAATGATTTTATAAAAAATATAATTTTTTTTAAGACAAATATAAATATATTATTAATATTATATTATTTAATCTTCAATTAAAAAAAAAATTTATCAAGTCAGACTTATTGTGTAATTTGAAAAGTTAAGAAATCTGAAAAAAAAAATAATAATAGCATACAAATTAAACTAATAAAATAACTGACCTTATTGTTGAACTATTCTCTGTCTTCTTGGTTTTTTGTGGCTGTTTTTTCATAAAAAAAGATTACTTATAAACTTTTTAATTGATTAAAGTTGAAAATAAAAACTTAATAATTTTAATCGTACGGTAAAAATACTTTAAGAATGAGATAAGTAATTTTTTACTCGAAATTGAAAAAAGTAACATGGTCAAGCATTTATTATTATTATTATTTTCTTTTTTAAGTGTCATATGGAGTTTTTTGTATCAATTGAGTGTTATGTCAACCTTGTCATTGTCCAATAATATAATGGATTTTGCCCCCCGGGGTATAGTCCAGTGGTACAAAGAACAGGAGTGGAGTTATCTCACGCGTCACAGTGCAAAGGCTTAATAGGTAATTTAGATTGAATTTAATAGTACTTCAAATAGAGTTTTAATTTAAGAAAATATTGATACTCTCTAAAACAGTTGAGTCAAGCGCACCTAATTAATTTGGAAAAATCTAGTTCAGAGGATTACGTGGCATCAAATCATATTTATTCAAAGAAAAGTGCCAATTTGATTAAGTTTCATTAAATCCCAATAATGTTGGTGTTCAATAATTTATTTTTTTCAACTTTGCGTGCAAATTGCAATTTTCCTTTGCAGATAATAGTTGACTTATTAATAAAGAACAATAACAAAATTTAAATTAGTACTCTAATAGGTCTTGACTTTTTAAACAATTTCAATAAATAAACATATTTCTACTCTAAAAACTTAAAAACGAAATCAATAACTTCAAACAAGTTGAGCACAGCACTATTGTCTTGCGACAACTTTATTTGATGAGGCCCTCCGAGACAATTTGTACATCACCATCCTCGCAATCTTGTAGAACCAGAAAGCACTCACAAGCTGAAGTCCCACGGCCATTGCCTGCAAAAACGAAAATAAACAAAAACCGAATTGATTATCTTCATGCATATAAGAATAGTAGATTAGTTCCTTTTTTGGCATTCGATCTGTAAAATGATAAATATGTCTCTTTGAGTTGGTGGATTGCCTTAATGAGAAGTGGGTTGTTAGCCGATAGAGTCACATGAGTGAGATAAGGTCCCCCAACCATTCTTGCAAATGTGAAAATGACCGCAAACATAATCTGCAAAAATTAACAATGCCAATTAACATAATTCTTGATTCTAAGATCCAGAATCTGTCAAGTTTTAACTCAAAACTGTGCCGAACTGGTTAGTTCGATCTAGTTCTAGTATTGTTCGTTAGGGACTAACATCGGCAGCCAAATTAAGGTCAGTGTTGTTGTATCCCAACTCTTTGAGAAGTTCCCTTGAGTGAAGGAATGGACTGGAAATTTCTGTAATCCACAATGCTGCAACCATTTCTGATCCACACTAAACCAAGAAAAATATTGCCTAAATTTAGCAGTCTTTACAAGAAATAATCAAGATTTTACTATATGGAAAAATTATAAAACGAAAGAAAAAAAAGAACATTACCCTTTGATAGGCAAGGCCAGCCACAAGTCCAACAATACTTACAAGATGATGAATTGTATTGTCAAGCTTCACACGTTTGTCAAAAAGACAGCATACTAAATCATAGATTAGATAAGCAACTGTCACTGCCAGGGTTTGCATCTGTTTCATGTCCAATAAAATCAATATTACGACAGGATTGTCTATTTTTTCACGAAGTAATTTTACTTTCCAATCACTCCCAAAATGCTTGAGAAGTTACTTTAAGTGTTATTGCAACATACATAACAAAAAATAGTGCAAATGTCGTGACATTATTTGAAAAATTAATTTGGTACATATTTGAGTGCTTTTGTTGAAGACAAAATTTGAATAACCATCTCCGTCGCCTATAGGGAAAAAAAATGTCTTGTATCGTGGTTTTTCAGTGGGGAACGGGGATGACCATTCTACCAGTGGTTCATTTTTCCTTTGTGTTATCAAGGACACAAAACGTATGTTCAAGTCTTTCTGTCACCCGTGAGAAGGTTTGAATGGGTCTGCACGTGAG